GAATACCCCAGAATCAAACTCTGGTGTCTTTTTGTACGGAAAAAGACTAAACCGGCAACGCGTGTTAGGAGTTTGACTTATCCCTACTTAGGATTCGGGATAAAATTCCATGTACCTGTGAGGCACAGATTTTGGGATTTGAAAAAGGTGGTGTCTTCTCTTGGGGCAAAGACGAACCCGAAATGGGAGAGGAAAAATTTTATATTCTATCTCCCGACACTGAAGAAGAAGAATTTTATATTCTATCTTCAACTGGAAAGGAGACTCGAGGTGGGATCTCCACCCCCAGAATCCGGAAAGGTGAAACTGAGAGTGGGATCTCCACTCCGAGAATCGAAAAGATTCGGATAACCCTAACTGTCGGAAGGTTTGATTACCGAACTAAAGATGAATTTCTCGTTTATCGAGAGTGAATTATGGTTTTGACCCTAACTGTAGGAAGGTTTGGCCAAACAGGAGTTTGAGGTGACCCTAACTGTTGGAAGGTTTGATCACTCGATTTGAAAGTGGACCTCTCGTTCATTGGAGGAATCGAGAGGGGATTTTGACTGTGGTCCTAACTGTAAGAAGGTTTGACCAAGTAGGTGTTTTGAGACAATCCTAACTGTAGGAAGGTTTGATCGCTCAATTTGTGGACCTCTCGTTCATTGGGGGAATCGAGAGGGGATTTTGACTGTGGTCCTAACTGTAAGAAGGTTTGACCAAGTGGGTGTTTTGAGACAATCCTAACTGTAGGAAGGTTTGATCGCTCAATTTGTGGACCTCTCGTTCATTGGGGGAATCGAGAGGGGATTTTGACTGTGGTCCTAACTGTAAGAAGGTTTGACCAATCGGGAATTTTATGTCCAGACTCTAACAGAGAGAGTGTTGAGTGCATAGACATGGTGAGAATGGGAGTTCTTATTCATTACATTGCTGTGGTTTTGGGAACTTCCCATTACATAAATCGTCCACCCCCAGTTTCCTCTGCGGAACTGGTTCGGACATTATTATCAGTTAACTAACCGGGTTATCCTTAAGAATATTAGCTTAATATTCTCCAGGAACTTCCCGTCAAAAGTGGGGAAACAGTTTAGACTCATATACCTATTGGAGTATCAGGGAGTAGTTTAACCTCTTATACCGGTCGGAGGATTGAGAAACAGTTTATACTCGTATACTCTTTGGAGTTTTAGGAAGCAGTTTATACTCTTATACCGGTCGGAGTTGTGCCATTCTCAATTGGCTTACCTCAGCGTTATGACGCCGGCTTCAACCAAGGTCTGAATGCTATTCTTGAGAGCAAAGCAATCCTTGGTGGGATGAACGACCCTCCTGTGGTATGCACAGTACTTTGGGTCCGTAGTGTTGTCAGCTTCCTCCTGATTTGTGATAGGTGGTAGCTTGATCTTGTTACCTTCAAGGAGGGATTCGAAGATGGCTGGAACGTCTTCGTCCTTGAAGGAATACTCTCTTTGGAGTCTCGGACCCGAAGTCTTTTGCTGCCTTCGGGATTGCTGTTGTGACGCTTGATTAGCACCACCAGTAGCTGCAGGTGTTTTGCCCTTACCACGAGAGGCGAAGTTTGAGTCCAGAGGATTAGCCGTCGGTAGGTTCCTCTCGGCCTTCTTCCTTCGGAGGAAACGTTCAGCTTGCTCTCCTCGGACTTTCAGATCCTGCCACGTTTTGGACGGTGCTGTGCCCATTGCTTCCAACACGTCCAGCGAAAGGTTGTTGTGGCAGGTCTGGAGGATGAATTCATTGGTGATCGGGTCCCGACAATTCATCGCTTTGTTCCGGAACCTTTTAACGAAGGTGTCGACTAACTCCCCGTCCTTCTGCTTCTCATCGAGCAATGATCCGATAGATATCTCGGTGTCGTCGTCGAAGAAGTTGGCCAGGAACTTGGTCTCCATGTCATCCCAGCTGTTCACGCTTCCTGGCTTGAGGCGGCGGTACCAATCGAAGGCGGCTCCGCGAAGAGTGCCGACGAATGACCGCACCATCAGAGGCTCATTGCCGGAAATAATACCCAGGTGCGATTTGAAATAAATCAAATGCTGAGTGGGGGAACCCTTCCCATCGAACGGCGTGAAGTTGATTAAACTGAACTTCGCCGGATAGGGGATCGATTCCCACTCTCTTGGGTATGGACAGGGAATGCCTGTTTTCTTCGTCTCTTGAGCGGAGATCAATGTGTTGATTTTGCTCTCGAGATCTTTGATCTTCAAGTCTTCACTTGTATCCTCGTTGGCATCCTCGTTACCACCCCCTGCATTGACGGGAGGGTTATTGGCATTGTGAGCTCCATCCCTATCCGTGTGCTCTTCTTCCTGAACAACCTGATTACGGTGACTTGGTTCACCTTGTTGGTTCCTGAACGCCTGGATTTGTTGCTCATGCATCTCTCTCATAGTCTGCATGGCCATCTGCATCTCAAACTTGAAACTTTCTTTCTGTTTAGCCAAAGCGTCTTCAAGCATCTTGGCCATTTCTTCCGCGCTTATCATAAATGACTCGCGGGGTTGTCCTTCGCTGGACACTGTATTGTCCGATGCGACAGCAGAGCAGGAATCCGATTCTTCATCTTCCGAAGGCAATCTTGTCCGAACCCTACCATAAGTTCCTCGTGCGATGGCTCCGGACTGCAGACGGGTTACACGCCGAGATGCTTCCAGAAACGACTTGAGATCAATCTGTGTCAATGTCTCTTTGCTGGTCATGTTGGCGGTGACCCTCGGAAATTCTCCGTCTTTAACCACCGTTCTTCTTTGCCGGAAACGCCTATACCTTGGTTTTGGCGTTTCGGTGCCGAGCCTTTCGAACACTGAAATTCTCTCGGGGACTCCCTTGATGCAGTTGCATTGAGACAGTACTACCCGAATGAGCTTGGCACATGGGCACTGAGTTTCGAGCCCTTGAGGGCTTCTTTTTCTTGTTTTGTTCGTACCCCCAGCACGATAGTACAACTCGTCCATTTGATCGGAGTAACCTATCGCGTGTTGGCATGATTTCCCAGGTATAACGTTATCATCCTCGGATGACAACGTTTCCTTCTGAGAGCAAACTGCCTTATTTGGACTTCCGAGAGTCACTCGCCTCGAAACACGCCTTTGTAGACATGAATTCTCAGCGGGCTCCCGAACTTCGATGCGCAAGGTAGTGCGCTTGGGTGCCGTAAACTCTTTGTCATGTTGAGGGTTGTGTCGACCCCCAGCATGTTGATTAGTTCGGAGCCTCTTCATCGGGCCCGAGCGTTCATGGACTTCGTTGCGCTCGTCGGGAATTGGACCGAGGCGCTCCAAGATTGACCTCCTTCCTCGGGATGGTTCGGGAGGTTGAACTCGTTTTGAAGGCTGTAAAGGTCGATCCTCGGCCTGACTCACCACTTTGGACTTTGGCCTCCATATTTTGTGAGTTAGTGGTGATTTCTTGGCTACTCCATTCTGCCACCTTCTACGGGCTTCTTGAACTTGAGCTCGTGCTTGTGCTGAGAGTGCGCGGCGCTTCTGAATGCGATCCTCCAGCGTTGAACGGTTCCGTTTGACACGGATCCATTCGTTCGTTGGTGGCTTGGAGGAGTTGCCATTCATTGGTTGTTGAGGTCGTTCGCCTCTTCTGTTCTTCAGATCCGTGTTGTAACGGATCCCGTCCACAGATTCCATTGCCTTTGCGATTTGTTTCGCAAGGCGCTGACGTTGCCTTTGGCGGGCTCTCTTTGAGAGAGTCACTACGCCCTCGGCAACGGAAGATTCGGCCAGAGCAGATCTGACCTGGTTGGAAGGAGAGATCTCACCCGATGCAGCTTCGGCATCAAACGGGGCGAGATCTTCGTTGGCAGCTTCAACTTCTTCGTACCAACGAAGTTTTCTCTTGGAAGAGAGCTTTGGAGACTTGGACTTGCGAGGGGAGGTGGATTCGGACGAGGATGACAGATACTCCTCGAACTTTTGTTGGTCGAATTCGTACTCGACCTCCTCCTCGACCGGGATCGGGATCCGCGGCTGCGACGCGACAGCTTCGGCAGTAAAGCTGTTGGCTCCCACTGTGGTCGCCAGATTGTTCGCGGGAAAAATCGTAGCTTTCTTCATTGTTGATATCATTGCTATCTCAGTTAACAACTTTATGCGTTACAAAGATCCGGTCTTTTTATAAGATCCGGTTACAATGAAAAATCAAAGAAAACAAAGTAAAGATTACAATTTTCCTTATTTGTCGAACTAATCGCGAGCTCCTGTTTTGCGGTCGCTCGCTTTGGTGGGTTCTTTGCCTGCGCCGGGGTTATTTGCCGTGGACCACCGCGTGATCTCGATCCGGTCGGATCTACACGATATGACGGGTAATATTCCACCAAGGGAATAATAGCCGGGAGGGATTGTTTCACCAAGGAAACAACCGCTCGAATCTCGGGATCTAAGAACCAAGCTTAGATCCGGAGTGTGATCGTGTAGATCTCAAATCCAATCCTCTCGAACTCCTGCCTTATTTGGCGTTGGTGATCGCCGAGCACCGGATCTGAAAGTCCAAGTCTCCAAGCCTTCAAAGTTGTGATCTTTTTTAGATCTGAGTCTTCAATCCAGCAGGGCTTCGCCTCTCTCCAAAATTTCCAACCTCTGAAACAAATGAGCACAAGGCCTATTTATAGGCACTCAGAACTGTGCATTTGCACAGTTCTGAGCCTAGCCACCCATGGGTGGCTCGGCCTTGGCCGAGCCACCTCAGGGTGGCTCGGCCTTGGCCGAGCCACCCTGGGGTGGCTCGGCTTTGGCCGAGCCACCTCAGGGTGGCTCGGCCTTGGCCGAGCCACCCTGGGGTGGCTCGGCCACCGAGCCACCTCAGGGTGGCTCGGCTTGGGCCGAGCCACCCTGGGGTGGTTCGGTTTCGGCCGAGTCCCCGGGTGTTTGTCCGTTTCGTCCTTTGTTTCCGGTTCTGGTTCTCTTGTGTGGTTGATTGACTTGGCAACGACTTGTTGACTTGATTCCAGATATGGCAGTGAGTCGGGTTCCTGATATGGCAGTAAACCAACTTCTGAATTTGAGTCCGGAATTGATGTTGATTTGATCGTGATTCATCCGAGTTCGCTCTTGTTTAGATGACTCGGTGATTCACCTAAACATTGGTTTGATTCCGCGTGCGAGTGGATGCATTCCAATGCTTGGGTGCGATTTGTCGCCTCGTTAACCTGCTCCGTTGCGTATAGCTTGGCTTCAGCGTTGGCGAGCTAACGGTCTTGTTTGGATACGTCGCCCGGTGGTCCGTTTGTTAAATCGGCGTCGAGCTGTGCTAAGGGACCTATAGGCAATTTTATACGCCTACAGATACCCCCTCCAAAGTATTTCAGTCTCATTCTTTTATAGAAGAGTCTGGAATACTTTGGATGTGATTGTCCCAACCTTCAGTCGGTGTAACGGGACTCTGGAATGACTTCTGTTCTGGATTCCTTCAATTCCTTCAGGCTATTCAGTGCTTTGTAGAATGCCTGTAGGGGTTCCGGTGCTGCATTTATTGTCTGACCGTTGTTGGAATTTGAACTTGAAGTCGATTCTTGATTTCTTGACTTTTTGGCTCGAGTTTGCTGCTTCAACACAGAACTTATCATCGATTGACTGCGTTGAATCTTCATCTATAACGCGTTGTCTGGCGTTTGAGCTTCATTGCGACGCGTTGTCCGGCGTCCAGGCTTCATTATGATGCACTGTTCGGCATTTGACACAGTTTATACTCGTACGTCTGCTGGAGTACACACGGTTTAAGCTCTTAAGGAATTGGAGCATGGATCTTATCCCAAGGTCGTTGGATGCTCGAGTCACGAGACCAACTCATAAAGTTGATGCGTCAATGACTCGCATATTTATAGGATTTTTGGCAAATCCTCAGCCATCAACGGGTTTGATGCGCCTTTACCGACTACCGTTTGAGTCGGGCTAGCATGCGGATTGTTTTAAGTCCGTTCCGCATGTGACGTTATGCTAAAAGAGTTAACTCTTTTAGTGCTACGATATTGAATACGTAGACTTCGTCTTTCTCCTGTGAAAAGACTAAACAGCAACGTGTATCAGACGTTGACTTAGGATTTTTGGCAAATCCTCAGCCCTCAACGGATTTGTCATGCTTTTACCGATTACCGTTTGAATCGGGCTTACATGCGGATTGTCTTAAGTCCGTTCCGCATGTGACGTTGTGCTAAAGGAATGAACTCCCTTAGACTTGATGCTACGACTTCGAATACGTAGACTTCGTCTTTCTCACGGGAATAGACTACCCGGCGACGCGTGTTAGGCGCTGACTTTAGGATTTTTGGCTAACCCCAAGCCTTTAACGGATTTGATTAACCTTTACCGACTACCGTTTGAGTCGGGCTAGCATGCGAATTGTCTAAATCCGTTCCGCATGTAACGTTGTGCTTAGAGACTGAATCCTCTAAGACTTGTTGCTATGACTTTGAATACATAGACTTCGCCGTTGTCATGGGAATAGGCTACCCAGCAACGTGTATTAAACGTTGACTTATCCCTCCTTAGGCTTCGGGATAAAATACCCCAGAATCGAACTCTGGTGTCTTTTTCTACGGGGAAAGACTAAACCGGCGACGCGTGTTAGGCGTCGGCATATCCTTTCTTAGGATTCAGGATGAAATTCCCCATGCGTGTAAGGCATGGATTTTGGTGTTATTAATAACAACCTGTCACAATGTTGAAGATGAAAGCGAATACAAAATCTACAAAAAAAATCAAATCGCAAACCTCGAAGATTTTCACTATGAAAACTGATCACCGTGAACACCCAGATAGAAAAATGACAATCACCACGAAATATCAAAGAGAGAAATAAATTAAAGAACCGATACTTTTATTGTATATTCCAAGAGTCCCCTGCTTCAAAACCCTGACGCTAAAGATCGAAACCCTTCGAAACTAAGAAATCAGTTTATTATATGAAAAAGTCGAAATTTTGAAGAGGACATTTGTACCCCGTGCCAAGCACGGCCCTTGTCTCTTTTTTACCATTGCACTTGGAACATCCCTCATCTTAGTTTTAATTACATATTATTATTGTACAATTAAAATTATAAAGCATATTAAACAATATGTTTAAACAAATTTCTTTGCATATAAAATAAAGCTATTGTTAAATAGATCAATATGAAATGCAGAGGACATTTGTGTTTAAGCTAAACTCATGCCAATTGTAAGCTAAACACTTAGCAAAAACAACACCCAGTTGAAAGTTAAATATGAGTAGGAATGTTCTCATATAAATCTGAGGGCGTTTTTTAATAGAGAATGCAAAATATATCATTTAACTTTTTGGAACATGAATATATAAATTTCCTATTGAGTATCACACGCATGGTTCTACCATTTAAGTGTTTCCACATACATTATTTTTGTCCTAAGATATATAAGCATTATGTGTATTTATTCTTGGAAAATATTTTGATCATGTGTACCGAAAAATTAATAATTCAGTTAGCATTATTCATGTTTAGAAGGAGACAACAAAAAAGTACCAACTTCCATCAATTTGTTTTGAACGTAAGCAAGGCTTTTCACTGACATTGCACGGCGTACATCATGCATAAGCTGTTGGAGGTTCGAAACAGAACAAAAACAATGCTTGCTTACTAACTAATACTACAAAATCGGTGTGTTGACACTTTGACAATTTCTAGAAATGATTTAAGTCTTTCTTTTATATTTATGAAATTTCAATTTATATCTCCATGCTTATTTTTCTTGTCTCCTAAGATCCCATTTCTACAGCGTGTTATCTGTTATTATCTATTATTTTCTTCATTAGTCTGCTGCCTTATATTTATGTTAGCCACCAAAATCTCCTGTTTTATTTTTTTTATCAGAAAATTATTCCATTCCCTAAAAGAGAATAGGTATCTGCTAGAATCTTCATCAATCTTCCATATAAATTACCATCCATCAAAGCAAATTGAAGCAAAACTATAAATTACCAACCAAATATTCATAAAGGCTCAGTCGTAGACGGTTATATCTCTAGGCATCTTTTCAACCAAATTTCAGCTAATACCCTTAGGCATCTTTTCAACCAAATTTCAGCTAATACCCTTAGGCATGATTATAAAATCTGAAATTGTAATTGTCATTATCTCACGAGAGCAAGTTCTAAAAACTATCAAAGCTCGGAATTGCACATTAATTCAAATAAAAACTCCAAATTGAAACTCATATAAATCAATCAAATTCAAAACCCAATCGTGGAATATCAGCTTTAAAACAAAACTAAAAAAATACAAAAACAAAAACCCAATTACCATCAACGATCGCATCGAAAACCCTATCTTCGAAACTGAGAACAACATCAAAGGGGCCATCAGCAGCATTATCCTGCCAGCGCTGAGGCGCTAGCTTCACACTCATATTCCTCTTCAACATCGGCAAGATCCCATTACGCTTGTACCTAAAAAAACTCCACAAAAGTCCTAACTTTACAATGGCAAAAACAGTAGATATGAAGAAAATGAAAAGGGCAAAATCGGCTTTCCACTCACAATTCAGGGTTCTTGCGGAGGAGGTCATCGTACATCTTGTGATAAGGGGTTCTGAATTCGTAGATGTTGGGCTCGCGGTACGATGGACCCGGGAGCTTAACATGTGCCCGAGTGCCGTAGGAGGAGACGTCGAAGCCATTGCGCTGGAGGAGGGAGTGAGCTTCCATGCTCCGATTCTGTTTCGAGGAGCAGACCATTGCGTATCGGAGCTTTGGAGATTTATCCTTCATTTTTTGTTTGATTTCGTGGGTAATTTGAAAAGTCGAAAAAATAGGAAGAGAAGGGATCCAAAAGATAATACCTGGGCGCTAAAGATCGCATTTTTAGGGTTTTTGTTGAGGATTCGGAGGAGAGAAGAAAGAGGGGAAGAGGTAAGAAGAGAGAAGGGTGAGAGAGAGAGAGAGGCATGGGCTGGGGTGGTTTTTCCCAAATAAGAATCGAGAAACGTAGAGAGAGAACGTGGGGAATCGTTTAATTGAAGATAAATACGTGGATAATAAAAATGTTTACTGTTCACTTTAAGGTTTTCCTTTAGTTATTAAGGAAAGTAGATATAAGAATTCTCTCTCTTATATATGTATAATGTATGTATGTATGTATATATATACTCTCTCTCTTAGTATATATGTATATATAAGTATACTCTCTCTTATATATGTATACTCTCTCTTATATAAGTATATATAAGTATACACTCTCTTATATATGTATAATATATGTGTGTAAAGAGACCAGGGTGTTTTCTGAAAAAAGCCTAAGCAAAGAAAACAATCTTGACTGAGAGACCACATAAGAGCTCGAGCACTGAGGGAAAAGAAAGCAATGGCAGCGGGCGGCGGTCTGAAGGGCGTAGCGCTCATCGCCGGCGGGGACAGCAACAGCACCGTCAGGGGATCTCTTCACTTTATTAAATGATCTTTCCGATTGCAATAAGTGCAATGAAAGAGGCCCATTTGATTTGGTTGACTATAAACTTGTGCACGAGGAACATTTGCAAACATGGATGATCTTTTAAAATTGTTTTACAAATGTTAAACATTATTAAACAAACGTGGTTTATTTGAAGAATTTGGCAAAATTGAACTTTTTCTTGAATCAAAACAAAACTTTGCCAAATAGCCAAATCTACCACAAAAATTATATTTATACACACTAGCATACTAAAGTTACTGTTCATTCGAGTTTTTACTGTTCATCCGGAAGATTGTATATTAGTATGTGTAATATATATTAACTGCATTTGATCATATTATTGTTTAGTATATTGTTTAGTAAAGGTTTCTTCCTTTCCTGCTTAATTATTTGCTGACCAAACTTTTGCTTAGCATTTATGTAAATTAATTAGCATATAATGCGTCTTGATGAAATTTATTTATTATTCATCATCATTGTGTGGGGATGGTGGGACGTGAGACCTTGTCTAACACCCAAATAATTTGTTTTCCCCTCTAATGTGTACATTCTTATCTTGCACTTTGCTAATAGAACCATGCACATAACTGAAGGTTTGGGCTATTAGTTAATTGCTGGAAAAAAAATTCTGTTCATAAAATCCAGTCACAGTTATTGTTCATTACTGTTCACTCGAAAAAAAAAAAATCTTAATTTTGTAATTAATTAATTTAATTAATATTAATTATTGCTTTTTATTACAATTATTTAATTAATGTTAATTAAGTTGTAATTAATTACTGCTAAATAATTTTAATATGTAATTACAATTAATTATAACTTGTAATTGATTTTATTGTCATTTAGTTGCTGTTTTAAATTTAAAAAAAAAATTAATGTCAAAATGATATGTTTAAGAGGTGGTACTAGAAAATGTCCATTTAAATTTGGAAGGTCTTCTTTGTAGACAACCAATTTAAATTTGGAAGGTCTTTTTTGTAGGTAACCAATTTAAATTTGGATGGTCTCTTTTGAAGGCAACCAATTTGCAACCTCTTATAATAAGAGGATTTAAATTTCTATGCATATGAATTATGAAGTATGAAATATATTGTTCTCTTAAATACTCTACATGTAACTATTAGTAATTTTTTCATGTATGTGCATATGTATGAATGTAAAGATATAACTGCAGTATTTTAGTTCCACTTTATGGGCTAATTTCTAATCTGCACAAACCCTATGCAGTTACATTTTCAGACATAGAATACGATCTTTTATGCTCATAGACCATGACCTTTTTTGCTTACATGTTGCATTCAAAACTGTTGTTTAATTGTCTTGTTGCTAAATTGATTCTTATGTCTTTTGAACACTAAAGGTTTTATTGAGCATATTGCTTTGAACTCTAAAGGTTTTATTAGCAATGTTGGGATTTAGTTCTTTAAATGTACAACATTTTATGCTCATAGACCATGACCTTTTATGCTTACATGTTACATTCAAAACTATTGTTTAATTGTCTTGTTGCTAAATTGATTCTTATGTCTTTTGAACACTAAAGGTTTTATTGAGCATATTGCTTTGAACTCTAAAGGTTTTATTAGCAATGTTGGGATTTAGTTCTTTAAATGTACAACATATTGTGTTCTCAAAGAACCCGGAAGTAATGACAAACTCTTTGTACTTTTGTTTTCTATTCCTTCCATGATAATATTTGATCATTACAATTTCTACTTGATATGAACGCATATCAAAATTTGTTTGATAAGAGACATCAATAACTATGCTAACATGTTTTGATAGTGACTAAAAGAATCATTTTATAGCTCTTCATTTAACTACATGTATAATGCTTTCTCTTGAGTTTCAGAAAATGATTAGAGTTAATATAAATATGCTCTATCAACTAGTATGCCTAGTTACAGGAGATGTGATGAATCAATATCCTGAAAAAATAAATCAAGAGGTATATCTTATAACTTCTATCTATATGATGAGTAAAAGTTCAAAATCACTGAAGCTATATTAAAATTAGTCCATCAAATAATTAAAATTGCTATTAGGTCCCTTTATCCTTATAAGTTGTTTCAAATCAATCCCTCCTTTTGCTACTTGTACTCTTTCCTGGAAAGATTGATTTGAAAAATAACTTAAACAAGAAGGGGACCTAATGTCAAATAAAGGACTAATTATAAAATAACTTGATAAATATATACAACGCCTACTAGGCAAAGTTGTGATTCTAGACTTTATAAAGTCTAAAAAGAATCATGCTGACCCTTTGACTAAGGGATTATCCAGGAGTGTGGTTCTGAATTTATTAAGGGAGATGAGGTTAAGCCTATAAGAGAGGTCACTGACAGTGGTAACCCAACCCTTATTTGGAGACTTAGTCCCAATGTTGGTTCAATGTGGTAGAAACAAGCTGGACTAGTAACACTCGTGTGGATCATCGACCCAGATATATTCATATATCACTATGTAGTTTGTGCTACTACCCCTTCTCTATGATGACGATGCTCTTATGATACAGCTGGCTAGGCTGAGTTTTACTCTTAATAAGTCCAACGTGTGTATTATGGGGGGTATTAAATAAACAGATATAGTACCATTCAAGGACTTACCTACGTGAGAGAAACCGTGATGACCGCGATTGGAGAGGGGGAGGTTGGGCTAACCCCTAGAAACTCTCATGAGTCAATTATTGTGAGCATGACCTTTAACACTTAACCCGCTTTGCTCAATAGATGAAGACGTATTATGTGTGTTTTTATTAATACCTGATTCAAGGGGCCTAATTTAAGGCCTAGTCCATTATGTCCCTCAGGTGGCGATAAACTCACTAAGGAAAGGTTCAAAGCCGGAAGTTACCTCTCCCGAATTCACGATACAAAAGATTGCCCAACCTATATTTGTTTTATGATTTCTTGATTTATTTATTGGTTTTGAGTTTTCAGTCAATATTATCTTTTGGGGGGACTGTTAGATATTTTGTTAAGAAAAGATAATTTTTGCCTTCATGAATAGTAATAAAATTTTGTAATTAAAACATGTTTTAATTAGCAATTAAAAATATGTGTAACGGCTATATAATTATGGAGAATGTTATAAAATTTATGACGAACATTACCGTATTAATTGCGGGTTTTGTAACGTCTCTTTCCAACACCATATATATATATAGTCGTATGTTGAGCTCGGTTTTGATAAGGAAAACAACAAGTCTCTTCTCTCCTCTTCATATTATTTCTTCAAAGTATTGGCTTTATTTTTTGGCAACTTTCTTCATCTGAGCAGAAGCTCTGTATTCTCGCCCGAGTACAGAGGCCGGCTGATTCCGAGGGTTTTTATCGCTAGGGGAGAGGGGATCATCTACGCCAGAGCGATAGACGGGTCCCCAATCTTCTAGGGCAGTGATTACACGACTGCTCCCAATCAGACCAGATTTAATTATTTATTTTTATTCGGATTTAATTTACATGCTAATTTAAGTTTATTTGATTTTTTTTCCAACAGAAGTGGTCTAGCTCTTTTTCGATTGTTAATGAGAGCTCACTTTTTCTAGATTAGCTTCTTTTGGATCCCAAATTTATTGAACCGAGCATGACGCGATAATATTATGCTTTGTTTTATTTGAAATTCTGTCAAATTCAAGAAGAAAGCATCTCACTTGTCGAATAGTTACTCCTATATCTTAATTTTGACTACGGAGATGACTTCTCATTTTCAATCAAAACCAGTTATCACCTAGAGAAACTTTATGCTTGTAAATCGCCCGAAATGAAAATTCAGAATAAACATATTTAACGAGGATGCACTAATCACAACTATGCTGTGAAGGAATTATAATCCTTTTTTTTTCAAGAGGAAGAATTACAATAGTTATACACATAACTACAATTTGATAAAAGATGCCCTGCTAGCATGTGGACTGAATTGGTATCTTTAACATCTATTTGGATCAGAGTTTTTGTTTTCTTCAAATTACTAAAACTCGAGCTCAAAAAATTGAAGGCATCCACCTTAGAAATATGTCCATAAGTACTCTTAAAGAAGTTAGTCATGATTTACAATATTTCATTCCAAATTTAAAAAAATTAACACGTCATATTCTTTGCTGAGGGAAACTATAGGAAACTGAAAATAAATTAAACAACGAGGGATGAAAGTATCCTTCCTCTTTTTCGATTAGTTTATATTTTATTCTATAAAATTTAAATTTTCAAACACCTATTATCAATTAATTCTCTCACAATAAAATAATTGAAATTTTTAATTAATTTATCTTATTACATAAGCATACACACCCACATATATATAGAGTAAGATTACTAAAAACACGCAGTGCAACTAAGAGGTTTACACCTACCTGTGAAAGTATACATTGGCCACTATATACGGTGATCAAAATTTATTCATTCTAATATACATATCATCAAACCTAGTGGATAAATAAAAATTATGTGGTTTGAAAATTTTCATCC